ACTATTCTCATATTCACTGACTCCTTTCAAGACATTTGTACATTAAATGTGTTTTTGAAGACTGTTCCAAATATAGCCTCTATTTCAGCAAGAATGAAATGCACATGTAGCATTTTGTAACAATAACAAAATGCTACATGTGCAGTGACAACGATGTACTTCTCATTTTGAACAGAGGCCAGAGAGTGTGTTAACTGTGGAGCCACAGCTACCCCACTGTGGCGTCGGGATGGTACAGGCCACTACCTGTGCAACGCCTGTGGACTGTACCACAAGATGAACGGCCAGAACAGACCACTAATCCGACCCAAGAAGAGACTGGTGCGACCCATTGAGACACACACTCACACACCTATCTGGGTGGATAAGGACACAATATTTGCTTTGTGAAGTATTCAGAAAAGAATCAATCATAGCCAAAACAGTTAAAAAACACTGATGATTTCTTTTCTGCGTTTCAGATTGTCAGCAAGCGGGCAGGCACACTGTGTGCCAACTGTCACACAAGCACAACGACACTGTGGAGACGCAACGCCAATGGAGAGCCTGTGTGTAACGCGTGTGGACTCTACTTTAAACTGCACAATGTGAGATAAAACTCATAGCTATATTATTATTATTTTTTTAAATCAGTAAACTGCTGCCCAATTTACCCAGAGTAAAAAGTGCTTGTAAATAAAAATTCTAAGAAGGTGATGTATTTTTTCCCCCAGGTCAACCGACCCCTCACCATGAAGAAGGACGGCATTCAGACACGGAACAGAAAAGTGTCCAACAAGAATAAGAAGAGCAAGAAGGTCGCCATGTTTGAGCAGTACTCAGAGGTGACTCAGCCATCCTCCCTGGACGGCAGCGGTGGGCCTTTTTCCCTCGGCCCCGGGACTCTCCTCACCTACAGCCACACACCGCACCTTATCACAACACAATCTCCCCTGCATCCCTCCGCCTCCCTACCCTACACACACCACCTCAACTCTGGCATGGTGCCCACACTGGTGTGAAATGACAAAACAGGCCCCTGAAAGCTGTGTATTTAGGAATCTCGCTTGCTTGCCAGTCATTCGTGGGAATTTGTACATATGTGTTTCTACACAGGATGTCACGTGAATGTGTTTTTTCACTGTATTTTAGGGGGAAGCACCAATTCACGTTGATCAAGTGCTTGTTTGAAATCAGATAAGGGAATTGTTTCAGCTGTAAATACAAACAAACACAAATCTGATTTCACTGCCATATCCAAGTCTTAATCCCTCTTCTGTTATTCATAATGTGAAATTATGTTTTGGTTTTGTGTTACACAGGTCTGTTTTGTATTTGCAAATTTGTATTTGTATGATATTACCATATTGAAACTCTACAGAGAAAATAATAAAATGTGTGACTGAAGGCTCTGTTTTTGATGTCATTTGAATTCTCAGCTCATCCGTTCAGCTCAGAGACTGACCACAGTGAAGCCTCCTGAGTGCTGTTATTGTACTCCCCTGCTCAGGTATAATAGTCTCTTTGTACAGTCAGCGTTCCACTTTGACAGTGTAATTGTACATGTATGCAAATTCTCCATTCTGCAGAAGTGACAAACATTCAACTAAAGTGCAACACTTACACCAGGGTTTTATATTTAGACCAGCACTGCCAGTTAAGTGCGTTTCAAGTTTAAACACACACAGACAAGGTCATGTTTTTTTTTTATTACTCATCACTATTTGTATGCTCTTAAAGGGGACTTTTTTCCTGTGCAGAATTTCCACTCATGCTTGAATGCAAATGTCAGAGGCTACAGAGAACTTGCTTAGTAATGATACGTTGCAATACATGTATCTTGACAGTAAAAGAACATCTAATTGTAGTCTGAAGACTAAAGATGAATGCCTTGAGATGAACTGTGTTTATGTCATTAGTTTGATAAATATAGTTAATGAACGGCAGTGGAAGAATTATTCAGGTCCTGTACTTACATAAAAGAAGCAATATCTCCATTTATACCACCAAATTAAAATACTCGATTGTGAGTCTTTAAAGTTAAAGTATAACCAGCAAAATATAGATAAATAGATATATTTTATTGTCCTTTCCAGGAAATGTGTTGCCACAGCTTCTACATAGCCTCAAATTAAAACATAACCACAAGAAAAACGTCTACTATTCACTATTATATATACTTAAAGTGTCAAATGTAAAAGTATTTATTATAAGCAAAATTCAACGTGTCAGAGACAATATTATATATTAGATTAAAAGTTAACCGTTACTAATGCATGAACATGTAAGGAGCATTTTAATGTTGCAGCAGATCAACTTGGAGCTGGAACACGCTGTCTGCTATCTTAATCTGCAATTAGCTGATCATATGTCATGTTTGAAAAATATTAATCTGAAAAGTTACTAAAAGCTATAGATGAAAAATAAATATTGCTGAGTAAAAAGTACAATATTTATATTGTAAAAAATGCAGTGGAGTAAAATACATAAATACCGTAAATACTCAAAACTGACTTTTTCAGAATTGGTTTTACTTTCTATGTAGATGTCAGGGTCACTTATGTTGTAGTGCCGACATTTTAATTTTCAGACATGCTGGATTCTGTGATTGTTTATATGCAGATAATCCCACTCAATGCAACAGAGATAACTGTTTCACATTGATCCAACTCGTGTCCATGTCTGGGATTTGACTATTAAAGAAAACTTATTTGAAAGGATTTTGCAATAAATGACAACTGAAAATATGACGTGAAGAAACATTAAATGTGTTTTCATTCCCTCAGTATTGACATTCAGGCAGAGGTACAGTGTATTTATGTGCAGTGTATTTCTTTATGCTGAGCAGCAGGGCTGGGGTTGCTCACTCAGGACTGGGGGATGACTGATATGTTATCACTGAGGCCACAGACCCCAAACCATCCACCTGCTGCTGGCACCGCCACTCTTACACTCCCTGTCAGTTAGTCAGCGAGGGGCACCGTGAGCACTTTCAGACGTGACACCAGAAAGAGTTATGACAGACAAATAAATCCATGGCGTCATCTGAAGGCACTGCTGCAGGTAGATGAACTCCATTTGTTTGCTCAAAAGAGTTCATCCACAGTTTCAAAATCAATATGTCATGATTAGGTCAAATGAATCCAGTCAGGTTATATAATCTTTGGGGACACACAGAACGCTTGACTTGAGACAAATCTATAAATAATCACACACACGCCACTGTGTGTGTTTTCACAGCAGATTTGTCCATGCTTCACTGCAGACTTGAGGGAGAAATAAGACTTTCATTTATGCATTCGGTTTCAGCTTCGTGAGCACAGCCCTATGAACATCTGGGCACGCCACCCACTCTTGACACTGCATGATACACACAAACACACACATACACACACACACACAGACACAGTCACTCCCCTGAGTGCTTTGGAGATAAACTAACTCTGAGGCAGAAATCACTAAAACACTCTATTGCAGAGAAACCTTAAAATTCCACTTTATTTCCCTCCTCAAGAATGATCAGAAGTAGTAAAACAAATATGAAACAAGTGTAAAGACATGAAATTAGGATGATTTGGCAAGCACATCCATAATTTATTCTCTTTTCCTTAACTGTCTCTATCTGCTGTTTATCTGCTGCCTCCGCCAGCTCTGCTCTGGGGAAATGGCAACAAATGCCAGGGATAGATTAGCAACCACAGGCCTGCTCACAAGGCCATCCGTTAGTGTCCTTCTCACTCTTGTTCCTTTGGTCTTTGTCTCTTTTCCCATTCAGCCTATTTTATCCTGCAGTTGTTCAGTGTCCTTAGTTGTACTATAGACTGTTATTATGGGGAGGCAAGTGATTTGATAATGAGTTGTTTTATCGTTGACAGTCTGGGAGATTCTATATGATAGATAATAATCATCTTTGGGCAAATTTATATTTTTGTTGTCATTTCAAACAACAGCTTTCCTGAAGGAGGTCACTGATGCATTTCTAACAGAACCCTTGTCAGCACCACACTGTTACATCTACAGGGAGAATAAAAGTAATAACCAAAAGCAACTACCATTGCTTCATGTAGATTCTCCTTTTGAAACGTGATACACACGCGCCCCCACAAGGTAACAACCTAACACTGCAGCAGCTCCAGTTTTTTGACCAAACTGTCACAGGATGTAAAACCCTGAACACTGCAGTTTAGAGATAACACACGTATATATGTGTAGTTCATATAGTGATGTACATTGTTGATGCATATTATGATGGAGCTGAACTGAATATAAATTGACACTTCCATTGACGCTACCAAGAGCAACGATTCATTTTTAGACACATTTTGGGTACAGCTTCTTGTATAGTCTTCATAACATACATGTTTATTAAATAATATAATGGATATGAGTGGAGTTCATCTAGTTTAATATATTTAGGATTTCCATCATTATATTTGAATGTCCTTTTATATAACTCAGCACAGTGATATGTTTGATGTATTTATTGCGTATTAGTATATACTATTATATTGTATATGGGCTTAGTAACCATTTTGACCTGACCAAGATCCATCTGGGATTGAAACACTGTCCATTAAAATATTTCTTTTGTTTGGAGTCAGTGTGCAAGCATTACAACACGAGATAAAGCATCAGTTGTTAAGACAATCTTGACTATGCATCTCCTCCTGTTAAAATAATCTATTTATGATAAAAATCTGTTCCCTCTGACATTTTGGGCTCACAATGCACTTTTCTAGTCTGATGATCAAAAAACTGAATGAGTTTCAATGCAATCTAATATTTTTCTAAAAGTAATAAATGAGAAATTGTAACAGGAACATTTGACAGTCCCATGAGTCCTATGGTAGATATTTTGTACAGTTACAGTTTGTGGGATTGACAGTGCACTGCTGATGTGTGTGTGTGTTTGTGTGTGTGTGTGTGTGTGTGTGTGTGTGTGTGTGTGTGTGCGTGTGTACACTTTAACATTAGCTGTTTCAGGCACTCAATACTACAAACAAAATAAAGAAGACACTAGAAAAACATAAATATATTTATTTTTTTGAAGCATGCTTAAAACTCCAGTACAGCGAACAAAATGAGCTGAGCATTACACAGTGAAAAGGAAATATAACTTATATTCTCTGTCAGCTGTCAGTTTGTAAGTAGTAAAAATTGGTCCTTGGATAACGCACAAAGGGCAAAATAAAAATAAGCAGTCTCATCAAACCAGCTGAATATGTTTCAATGTCTCTTAGCTTATCAGGTTCATTTAAAGCACTTCCAGTCCGGAGAGTAACAACTGAAAATCTCTGCTGTGTGTTAAAAAAATAAAAGACACAGGACAAAGTGGGGTGAGAAGTATAACAGCTCACCAAGCTACACGTTATGAATACTCTCACAATCTGCTTCAGCCATCCACATTCTGTCAGTGCACAAGCGGACTAGGCTTTTTGTAAACATCAACTATTTAGTTTTACTTTTGTTGGCATTACACAGGGTGTGCCGCGGTGAACAAGATGCAGCGCCTTCAATGTTTCTTAGCAATGAGAACCCCGACCACAGCTCCCATTAGCAGCGCCACCCCAATTAGCAGCCATCTACTCAGAGTCTCCCGAGATCTCCTCGCTTCTGCGGCGGCGTCTCGCCCAAAAACCTCAGCAAAGCAGTCCTGCACACAAAAAAACATGAGAGATTTTGTTATTAGACATTGTCTTGGTTCTTTCCATCCACATGAAAAGAAGTAATCATCAGTTGTGGTCAAAAATATTGGCACTTTTGCCCCTTTGCACAAAACTGTACGTATTCATATCCCTTAAAAAATGTTTTTCAAATATGAAAGTGGTTTCCTACAAAACTGCAACATATCAGATAATCATTCTGCACGAGTGCAATGTTTGTCTTCAGTCTGGGTGGACAAACGCTGTTAGTATTAACTTTTAAATATATATTTACCTGCTTTAGATTAATATTTAATATGTATGTATCAAGTAAGTAAATACAGTGTAAGGGTATCTATGTATATACTGTATGTGCATATGTGTATCATTCTTTTTCTTTTTCTTATATACATGTTTTGGGACTGCTATTTAAGCTCAATATATTATTTACTTAAGAAGGCTAATGAAATCCTATGATGTGCTTGATCATTTTAAAACTCCAGAACTTTTTAGAAGTTGAATCAAACACAGATCAGCTGCAGAAAAGTTTACTATGCTGCAGGAGAAGGTTGAGACATTTTGGGGACGTTTTGTGCCATTATTCTCAGTCACCTTGGAATAATTCCTAACCGCTGTGACTCCAAGCTGACTGCCGCTGCTGTCCTGCATGAAAATTGTGTTACACAGTCTAACAGGCAGTGAGTATGAAATACTCAAAAAAGGTAGATTTCTTTTCAGAGGGGTTTTTCTTCGAAGTTGTGTAACACAGTTAGGGACGCACCGATCGAACTGTTTTCACTCAAGAAAATTCCAATATCTCAACGTAACATTGAGATTGCTCAAAGAAACTGAAACTGATCCGACAGCAGTGCTCTTTTTTTTACCCACATTTAAAATATGAATACATCACTGCGTGGAACTCATGGGGAACATTTTTATGTAAAGTAACATGAGGTCAAGGATTGCTGTGGCACTACAAACTTGATTGTAACTTATAAGAGAATTTTATAACAACTTAAAAAAAGAAATTGCATTGGTCACATCAAGGCCAATACTCAATCTGTATTAGATCACCACATCCCTAAACACAGTCACAGCACCATAAATAAAGCTGCAGGTTGAGTTCATCCCCTGCTGACTCACCCATCCTCCTTGGCTCTGGATCCACGGACTGATGTGCTCATCCAGGTACATGGTCATCCAGTCTGCGATGCGGGAAACCAGCTCACTCATATCTTTCTCGACACATTCTACACACAGTACACCGCCAAAGGCAAACAGGCCCACTATACGTCCCCAGTTCACTCCATCCTTGAACACCTCGTCCATCACGCTTTTAAAGCTGTGGTAGGCCGTGTCAGGAGTGATGTCAATCTGCGAGGAAAGGTCACTAAACGCTTGCGTGAAGAGCAGTTCAAACTCATCTGCCGAGTCCCGAAGAGCTGCCTTTACAGCCTCTATGTCAGCGCCTGAGGACGAAGACGTCCCCGGCTGGCCACTTGTGTTCTTGCTGGCCAGCAAGCCGTTTCTGGCAGCTGAGTTGGCCTTGTCTCCCTCAGTCCTTTCACCGGCATTCTCCGGCCTCAGTAGAGAGGTTGGGTGGTTCCTCTGAGACAGTTTATAGCTTATAAAGAACTCCACCAGCTCTCTGTTACTGTACGACATTATTTCCACACTGTGAACCTCCAACACACAGCCAGTCTAATCAGAGCCTGTGGTCTCTCCTGCCATTCCTCTCAGTCAGTCAGCTGTCACATTAGAGCTTCTTCGCCTTACCTTGCAGCTAACAGCATCCTGGAAGCATACAGGGATAAAAGAAAGTGACATTAACGCCTGTAAGCAAACATTAAGTGTTTTAGCATCCACTGGTTTCCATTTAATTCTGTAAGATATGAAAAAACATCAGTAGGCTCCACATCATCATGTTTGAGTAATACAGTTTAATTACAGATTGCTTTGAAATATCTGCCCTTCATTAGCACACAAATGTGTGAAATGTTTCAGTAATCAGCTGATAGATTTTCCTATTTTAGAAAATAATGGAAACAGGCTCTTTTTGTACCATCCCAGTGAAATCTGAAACTGTAGCAAACATTTGAAAATAACCATAAGCTAACAAACATTAGCTAAATCGCAGCCTTGTTATCTCAGCATTAGGAGAAATATAGTAACATTAACTCATTCCGATGTAAATCAAGCCAAATATATGCGTGTAGATACCAGCCTGCCACTGCTGACAGCTCTGGCTACAACGGAGATACTACCAGGTTTTAGCTTTAGGTGCTAACTAACGTTAGCTGTTTATTAACAGTCCCGAGGAAACGCATCAAAAACAACAACAAACTACAGCCACGGGACTGATATGAGCTAATCATTATTGACAGCTATACTTACAACTGCTGAAAGGTTGTTTCCCTTTGAGGGTGCAGCTAAGGAGTTACTAAAAGCTGTAGTTGTGAATGCAGACACAATATGGACATTTTTGCAGCTGCAGACTCTGAGACCAGAACAGTGATGCACGCTGGCGGTTGGCCAATTCTGCTACTGTACCAGCCGGAAGTCCCGCCTCTTCCTGCCGCTGCACCAATCAACGCCGGGGAGAGACTGGACGTGAAGGGCCAGTGAAATGAAAGCACAATCATTGGAACAGCTTTGTGTGTGTGTGTGTGTGTGTGTGTGTGTGTGTGTGTGTAAATGTCACATCCACAAGTCTCCAAAGCTGCTTCCATTGTTTCAGATTCGTACTACAACAGTGTGGGACCTTAATTAAAGATGTGACGTGCGTGAGTTTAAAATTAACTTCAATTAACTTCATGGGAGTCCCCTAGCTTGTAAAAGGTTTCCAGTGTTTTACTGTTCTAGCACTTGTAAATACAGCCTATTTTAAGAAGACGTCAAAGAATATGTCAAAACGTGGAAGTCTGCCGTGAATAAGTTCAATTATATGGGACTTCTAGTTTATAACATCCACCAACATAAATGTACTTTTATAAAAAGCATGTCATTTTCTCTCCCTGTAACTGCTCCCTATAAAGCTATTGAACTACAAATTGAGACTTTGGCTTAACTTGTCTTTCATTTCTTTCCTGTTGAAATTTACACAAGAATAACCTTCTTAGGACCCTATTTTATAAACATTATTTATGGACCCATTGTGTTCTATAAATGTTTTTTTAAATGGTTGTTTTCTTAAAACCTGGCACAAGAGGTCATTTTAACACAGTGATTGGTGTAGGAAAGAACTTAAAATGTTTTTATTAAACAAACATATTTATTAAAACGTGTACATAAGCAATAAGCATATCCTACACTTTCTAAATGTGAAATGACAATATGTTACAGTTCTTTATCACAGTTGAGAAAAAACTATGGAAGTAGGGAGGTTGGCATAACTGTTTCTTAAATCTTGTGACAGTTAAAAGGTGAATAACACAGATTGTATGAAGAATCTAACAAAGATCAATGGCTAAAATATATACAATGTCACTTACATATGCCATATACCTATGTACTATAATGTAACATTTTTCCTTCCTTCCAACCCTGGAAACATCTGGAGATTTAATGACCCATGCCATGTGTCCTCATATTTGTGATTTGTAACTGTGTGAAGACCTTTTTCGTTTTTCTTTGTCTTAATTCATACACTCCTTCAGAAGTGACACTGCCAAGCAGAGACACTAACAGAACGTCATCCAAGCGTTTGCTTTCCCATCTTGCAAAGTGCTCTCCTTGTCTCTCTGAGGATCATCCGTGTTCACAGCTTCTGTCTCTTCTGTCATATTTGCTGGCTTCTGGGATTTAACATTCTCGTGTTGGTTTGTGTCAACATTTCCATTCTCAGTAGGTCCATCCTCTGTTTCTGGTTCACTGTCTGAATCAATGGAAATGGTCTCTGTGCACGTGCTTACGAGTTTTAAGGTACAGTTCAGTGTCTCACATTGTCTGTTTTGGTCTGTGTTTGGAGTACCAGACTTGAGGCCTCCAGATCTCCCCACTGAGGTGCTTTCAACCTTGCTCTCCTCAAAGATCAAGTCATGTTTAACTTTCTTGACAGCATGCATGTCAAAGCCGAGCAGCACAGACACCTTCTTGGTCTCACATTCTCTCTCACACATCCTTCGCTTGGTTGCAAAGTGACTAGAAATGTCAGATTTCCACAGCCACAGACTTGCAGACAGCTTCTCCTCTTCCTGAGAAGAAAGGTATGGTCGCCGGTTGAAGTAGGACGTCAGGAAATTTTTCCTGGCCTCATACGTCTTGTGCTCGTAGCTCCTAGGATCCAGAGCAAGGCCATCAGATTCAGACTGACTTCCAACGGTTGTGCAGGAAATCTTTGACTCTTTGCTCAGTTTCATCTTCTTGGGGTTGGACATGGCCTGCATTGGTGGCTGCCTCTTGAGAAAGCCAGCCCCAGACGAGTTGAGAGTCAAGGCAGACTTGAAGCCTTGACCTACATGGGTTCTACCAACAGCCCTGCACTGCACAAGATGCAGCGTGATTGTGGAGGCTACCATGTTACTGGTGTACACCCCCAGGCAATGAATGCACTTGTACGTCATTTTTTTTTCAACAGGATGCATTGTTTGGAGCACTTGGTGTCGCTCCCTCAGATGCATGGCCAAAGCATCAGAGATGGGACCTTTGAGGATGGTGAAACACAGCGGACACAGAGTCTTCCCAACCTCACTCTTGTGAGTCGCTGAGGGGAAACTTCTAGCAGCAAGTGGTTCACTCGTCTTCTCAATCATTCTGGGAGCGGTGACTTTGACCGGAGGTGGAACACTGTTCTGAGCAGGCGCCAACTGATCTTGACCATTGACAGATTCCTTCATGTTAAAAGTGAGAACAACAAGTTGTACGTTACTGGACTTCTCCTGTTTAATGGTGAGATCAAAGGTAAGAGGTGATGCACCAGGTGGTCCGACAAAGTCATCAGGATGAGCCTGAGCCACATGCTCCATGATTTTCTCAACACTGTGGAAAGCAGAGTGGCACTGTGGACAGGTGAGCCCGTGGATTAGCATGTGGTTAAGCAGTGTGTCGCTGGGCAGATAGCGGTTGCAAAGTAAACACTTGCTGGTGAAGTTGTGGATTTTCATGATGTACTTGGCCAGTGCCCACACTTTCTTTGCCTTGTGTGCGTTCTCAAAATGAGCATTATAGAGGTTTTCAGGAAAGAGCTCATTGCAAACTGTACATATCTTCCACTTCTGTGTCTGCGCTGTGTTTACACCCGCAGAATTATTTTCAGCCACAGTGCTGTTGCCAGGAACTGTGCCACGAAGCTGACTGGTTGCGATGGAAGACTGATGTTTAACAACAGGGGCCACTGGCTTTAAATAGCCAATTACTGGTTGTGCTGTTGAGTCAGCTCTAGGTGTGTGGCCCCTGCTAATGACCACAGGGGTCTTCTGAGTTACAACTGGTAAGGTTTGGGTCCTTGACACAAGAATATTAGCATGTCCAATCATGGTGGTTACCTGAGCACCAATGCGCTCATGGTACTCTATAACATGCTGTACTAGAGCCTCGTAGCTACGAGTGGAAAACTGGCAGCGTTTACAGAGGATGTTGTTGCCATTGACAGAATTAGCACCATTTTTGACAGATGATTCTGAAACCATACCAAGATACGGTGAGACAATATGCTGAAAATGTTCCCTGTAAATGTGCCTTCTCACAACATTGTAGAGACTGTCCCGAAACGTGCATTTTTTGCAAAAGTACATTGCCTTCTCCACACCGTCTCCCTGTCTGCCATATGTTTTGTTGTTCTTTGCCAGTCCAACTCCCTGTGGGTTTCCATAGTTCTGCCGTGCTGAACTAGGTATGTGGAATATTTTAACATGCGTCTCCAAAGTTCTCTTGCTTGCAGTGAATGTGCAGTATGGACAGTTGAGCAGTATTTTACTATCAAAGATTTTCCTGTGTACATTGCGGAAGTGATTCTTGTAGCCTGAGTAGTATTTGGAAGAAAATGAGCACTCTGTGCAGCAAAATGGCTTCGATCGGTATTCCTAGAAGACATCAGGGAAAGAATAATAGCATTAAGACAAATATGGTGATTTGTGCATGAGCATTTGAAAAGGCCATGGAAAGAGAAGCAAGGTTTACCTGTGTTTTAGAGTATGATGGATCCCATGCGCAGATATCAAGGCAAAGACTGCTCTTAACAAATTGCTCATTAGGGCAAAACTCTTTGAACTCCTGTGGAAGGAAATTTAAAGATTAAGGCATACATGTTATAATATCTGATAAGAATTTGTTTATATAACATTTTTGACAGTTTGACAGCATACAATACTTTGCATGCAATTGTAATCAACACTGGCTTTGGACAAAATGCTGAGTTGGCATAAAATTAAGTTGCATTTTCCTTAATAAAATATAAAATATTTTCTAAATATAAACACTGTCACAGACATAAAAAAAAAGACCCACTCACATATATAACTATTAAAGCATGAATGGGAATCGTCTATAAAGCTTCATATTAAGTCATGTTTCTCAATTTACTCTAAAGTTTCTAGAACAATTAAAAATACACTCACCTCTGCTGCCTCCTTGCAGTACTCCAGTCCAATGTCTTCAAGTGCTTTCTTCACTTGTTTCCTAGCTCTCCGGATTCTTGTGAGGTTATTCACTGGGAGTTGATACATTTCTCCTGACCAACAGAAAGTAAAGTGTTTATTAGTTTGAGGCAGACTCTTTAATAACATGTGTCAGAATACAACACAACATAATACAACATAGTTCAATCAATAATCACCAACATCGTGAGAGGCTGACTTCATAAACAGGCGACACGCCCTTTCAACACGTGTTTCTACCCAATAAATCGCTGTCAACTTCTTACTGATGCCAGGATCACGTTATCTATGTCAAATGCTGCAGTTTCTACGGAGGCCCAGTAACATCACTGTTCCAGTGGCCATGCCACAAAGTTAGCTTTCATTACCTGATTCAGTGCTGGAGACACTGAATCAGAGAGCAAACCTGTGGCCCTTCTTGCTCCACACTGTCCACTGACTTCGACTATCAGAGATTTAGCTACAGTACATGTTAGTTGTGTGGACTAGCACGGATGTGTTAGCCAACATTAGCAGGCTTGGCCACCTACTGTACTTAGCACCAAAGCTAGCGTTGCACAGTCGGTTAGCGTTATTCGTTTCTCCATTTTCACTGACGATATCAATCAGCATGCGTTACTCACCTTGTGATACGTCTGGGAACTAGCGTCACACTGGTTGCCTCACTACATATACGGCCAACAAAGAGGTTAAGAGGTCGGTCGGGGCGTGCAGACTGATGCTGATGTTCGCCCTCCTCAAAGCCGGTGCTGCACAGCTAGCTAACTCAGCTAGCTAGTTAGCCGTCACATCTGCTTTGCTGCAGCTGCTAACTAGCTGAATGAGCGGGGCAGACTGCTGCACTCCTCACACCACTCTTTATGTGGTCACAACAATGAAGACTGCCAGGACAACCCAGTGTCCTCTGAGCAATTCTTCTACTTGCACCGGTGGTCAGGCCAGTCTGCTAGCTAGCGTTATCTTCTCCCAGTGAGCCAAGTCAATCCAAAATGGCGACGATAAAACGACGGAAGTCGTAGCAGGGAGCTGGCTGGGCAGTGGCTGGATGACCAAAAGTTAGTGCTCATTATGGTCACATTAATACAGTCATTTGTTTTCAGACATAGAAAGCTAACACTTGTAGTTCAGGAATTCTGCTTCATGAAAATACCACATCCATGACCCGTGTGGTTTACTTTTGCTGATAAGCATTTTCACAGATTTATTTATTTATTTATGTATTGTGTCCCACAAATGAGCACACGAGCTTTATCCATAGTGTAGGATTGAGAAAAAGGCCTCTTCATTTATTATATTTCAGTTTTATCAAACACAGTTCAGTTATTATTATAGCAGTATTGTTCAAGAGCTAAAGTAGATGATGTTGTCACTCCAGTGGCTCCATAACTTCCAGTACAACAGTGCGAGCTCCTGTCATCACCAGTCTGGACACTGTCCTGTAGTCCAGGTAGAGAACACACTGTCCATTCACCTGGCACACAAACTGCCGCACCTAAAGAAAACAATGTGAGGTATCACTGCTCTTATTTTTTGTCTCAGAGTCACATATTGGCTGTTCTCAAACTCCTTTGAGGTCACAGTAGCATTTTCTCTTTTGGTGCCATGTGTGTAACATATTATCTAACCTTAACTCCAGCAGCTGCTGCAGGGCTTCCAGGGTCAACAGCCTGCACATAACAGGGAGACCTGCCTCTGACAACAAAGCCCCAGCCCAGGGCATCTCCTATCACCTGTGATGGCCGAAGGGTGAGATAAATTACATTAAATTAAATCTATTTAGTTTAGTTCACTTGGTGAGGTATAATCTTATTAGTCTACACAGAAACATCTCTAAGAATGTGTTGAATTTTGTTTAGACTTTGTTCAGGTTATACTGAATTCATGCTGTTAAACCGTAGAGATGACATAAGTAGTTTTTAAAGGTCCAGTGTGAAACATTTAGAAAGATCTGTGTGGCAGAAACGAAATATAATATTCATAGGTATGTTTTCATTAGTGTATAATCATCTGAAAATAAGGATTGTTTTGTTTTGTTACGTCGTCTTCCATGGAGTCCGCCATGTAGCCCAGACGGGACAAACCAAACACTGGCTCTAGATAGGGAACGGCGTTTCGTGGCCACTGTAGTTTTTTTGTTGTTGTTGTTGTTTTGTGCTTGGAAGGGGAGGGTGATGCGATGGAGCTGCGATCTAAAAATTCACCGCTAGATGCCACTAAATCCTACATACTGGACCTTTATATAGCTATGGATAAATCATTACAGTTCAACTCACCGTCAACACTTTCTTGATGAAGGGTGCACCATATGCCAGTATCTCTTCACATGTAAAATTTCTTTTGAGTACTGTAAAATTATTAAAAGATTTCAGCGTTCACAGTTTTCCAGTTTTGGGTAAATGAGACACAAGTGGACCAAATAGGCTGTCTTTAAAGACATTTTGAGACATTTGTCACATGAATATTATTGACACACTTGCCTGATTTTGGATTGCATCTGACCATTGAAGTTGAAGTCAGCTGGACAAGAGGTGGAAATCCAGCTGAGTGAAGCTGAAGGGAATTCAAGCTGCCTCGACGCACACTGGTAACCTGTTTCAGGTCTTCACTTAACCCCACTGTAATTAAATTAGTAGTAAAATGAATAGCATTCACAACAACATGAATTTTGTGTATTAAGCGCAGAATTTTAATTTTTTTTTTACCAGACTGGAAAGCACTGTTGCCCTCCTGCGGTCGGCTTTTGCGCAGAACAAATGGACTATCAGAATGGTTGTCCTCCTGTGTCGACACTACCACACCTTTGTTATCGTCGTCTTGTTCACTTTCATGTAACAGTTCAGACAGGCGGCGGCGGCGGCGGAAATTGATGCAGAACTGATAGAGCAGTCCGCTGTCAAAGAACTCGTGCTTCTTTGCCACTAGTGGTGGGAGTGGAGTGAGAGAGAGCACAAAACACATTTTAAAAATAATGGGATTTTTCACAAAGAGTTGATGAGTGTGTTTGCTTTAGATTGCAAAAGTCCCAGCTGGCCACCCACTGCTAGCAGCCACTGACAGCCAGCTCATTCCTGGTGCCATACATCAAAGGGCAAATGAGGACTCCCCTCACCGTGCTGAATGATGCCATGCTCCTGCAATGCACGGCACAGCTCCAGTCCCCGACGCCGGCTCTCTGCCTCTCCGTTCTGAAGGAGCCGGTCAATCAACTGGCAGCCAGGAAAGGAGCGCTGATATGCAACACCATGCTCCTCTCTTAGCTGCAGAATAGAGTTCTTGTCCCCTATGAGTCTGAAGACACCAGTCAGATGCGTCATAACATGGAAATTACTTTATAACATTTTTGCGAGGGACATTTCAACAGACAAAATCACCAATATATATCTGACAGGAGATTGTTGGGGTGTGTGAATCTCCTCCAGCCTATTAAAGGTCCAGTGTGTACAATTTAGCTTCACACTCCATTTCAAAGTGTGGAGGAGAAAACTGCGGTGGCCACAAAACACGGGAAAAAAAATTTAACAGCCCTATCTTCAGCCAGTGTTTGGTTTGTCCTTTCTCAGCTACTGTAGGAACATGGCGGTTCAACATGGCGGACTCCACGGAAGACGACTCGCAGCATTTGTAGATGAAAATTGCTCAATCTTAAGTAACAAACACGTCAATCCTATATTCAGGTGATTATACACTAATGAAAATATACCTATGAATAATATATTCCATTTCCTCCTAAATGTTACACACTGCACATTCAATCATATTGGTGTGTGTGTGTGTGTGTGTGTGTGTGTGTGTGCGTGTGTGTGTTGTGATCATGACTATGATTGACATAACACTTCAAGGTCAGCTGTTCACGCTGAGCCCCAGCACAAGGTAAACAGCAGCTCTTACTGTTCATACAATCGTTGTCCTCTCATGAAGATTTTCACCTCTGTATTGAAGGGAAATGTGCCATCATCTTTGCGGAAACGGTACAGCAGTTTGGCATCCTTGAACACTGACCTCTTATCACAGACTAAAAGAAGGCAATATACAGTTTAAAATAATTTTTGAAATGAATTAACAAACATTCGGTAACAGTTTTTTTTCATTTGTACACAAGGTCTGTTAATATCTTCTATATCATCTATCTATCTGTTTGTGTTGTTGCTTCATTTTTACCGTGGTGAACGATGTCATTATCCATGAGGTGCTGCATGAGGCAGACAGCGGTTGCTCGATCTGGAGCTTCCTTATGGCTCACAAGCCAGTCTATAAGTTCCTGTGCCACAAAGCAGTTGGGATATGTGCGCAGGTGGTAGCGGCGGTCCTTGATCAGTTTTCCACCGTGAAGCCTCAACCTTGAAATCAGTTTCAAATTAGCCATAATCCTCAAAACTTAAAGTCAGCCACATGTTTAACCTGAATTTCATGTAAGCCTGATCATAAGCATGTCATACCCCCCTCCTCTCTATCCTCATACCTGAGTTGTTCTCCAGCAATCATGACTTCTCCTTTATGTTGTCTGGCCATGGCCTTTCTCCTGATGCTACTTGTTCTCTCCATGTTTGTTATCTGTGGACTAGAAAGTAAGTGAAGTTAACTCTTCGTTTTGGCCCTTTGTGTTTACAAAATAGCTACTGAAACACACACAACCCCTTTGCCATGTGGGAAAAATGTTGTGTATACACAGAGGGAAAGAGAGACAAAGGCTACGTTCACACTGCAAGCCTTGACGCTCACTTCTGAGTTTGGCTGTTCACATTATTTTTTAAATGTGGGCCATATCAGATTCCAGTGTGAACAGGTCTCAGTCCTGAAGTGACCAGTGTGACTAATGTCAATCTAAAGTCACATGAATTCTGATATATTCACACTGAGGGCACAGTACAAAGAATCAGACCTGTGTCTGATTTGGACCACATATGAAAGTGGCCCAAATCAGAATTGTAATGATCAGATTCCATGTTATTTGTGCTGTTCACACTGTTATAAAAAAGAAATAAGATTTGGGACCACTTGCACTGCAGTGTGAACATAGACAAAGACATGGTACATTTCTGTCAGGGTGCCACAGACAGAAGGCGTCCACTAAAAGAAAACTGTCCCGTGTGGAAATTTATGTTTTTTTTTCTTCTTATCCTTTCATAAGACTGAAGCTATCACTTGTTTTCTTGTTGGCTCTTCTGACAGTCAGCAAGGCCGCTTTATTATACATCATTATATAGCAGAGGCAAATCAGAGTGCTTTACATAGGCAGAGAAAAACATTACCCTTGAGCAATAAAAAGGAGAGTCAAAATAAAATGAAAAATAGATAACATTCAATAAAATATGTGGAATGCAGTTACAGTGCAGTCATTTGTTGTAGGTTGCCCCAAATGCAACAAAGGAAATTAAAGCGTAGTAGAGATACCAGTCAATCAAAGGCACAGGAGAACAGAGGTTTTAACTTAGATTTAAAAGCAGCTAGGGTCGGCATGTGTTTCAGTTTATCAGGAAGTTGGTTCCCTTTGTTTGCAGCAAAGTACCTGAAAGCAGCTTCACCCTGTTTGGTTTTGAGTCAACCAGCTGACTGCTCCCTAAAGATCTACTGGATTTATATTCTTCATTATTGAGCGAATTATAAACTAGCAGCAGCACTATAAACTCTATGAGTTTGCCAGTGTAAAGATTAAAGAACAGTAATGTGCTCAGTTCTCAGCAGTATTCTAAATGAACATTGCAGAGGACGTGTTTGACTTGTCCAGTAGTCACATATTTTAAAGCATTGTTGAGAAACAAAGGAAATACGGTTGATATGCACATGATACCCCTTTGCTAACTGCCTTCATGGTCCTAATCTACCCTAATTAATGGATGTTGTGATGCAGGCTGTGTTTCCTGACTGCTTTCCAATGGTTTGTTCATTTGTATTTGTAGCACTTCACAAGCATCAATCATTTTCATTACAAAATTAAAATCTACAACACAAAATTGATTAAACTCAGGATTATTTGGGGTGTCAGTGGGTGTTTGGGGCTGTTAGCATTGGATGAATTCGAATTGGGTCACATTGTAAAGGTCATCATATGGTTGTCAGGCAACAGAAAAACAGAAAATTGTGCTAGTGACAGTGCTTATCTTCTATTATATGAGCTTTCTGCATGCGTTTCTTAATCGATGGCAACAAAGGTCATGTAAAGCAGGCCTTGGGATGTGAAAGCATCCGTGCCTCCAGCCTCTCAAGCTGCATATAAATCCTGCCTGCTTCAATAGAATTAGCAGACCCCAACTACGTTATCTCCAACCATAACCACCTCTAGAGTAGTCTCTCGATAGGTTTATAGGTGGGTTGGTACACAATTGATATTAAGTTAATATCCATGACTGCATAATGGTCTCAGTTCTTAAATGCAACTAAAGTGAAGCCTTGTTTCCAAGAGCTGATTATTATTGATTATACTGGTGTATAGATATTCATTTTTTAGGAGGCGTGTCTGTTTTATTGCATGTGTTTTTGTGGTGAAATATGATCCAAGTGTCTGCTGGGGATGTGCACTTAGGCTGTTAGCATCCTGTCATTAGCATAAGTTATACCACAGACTGTGACCCTGCCCTACTGGCATAAATCCTAACATGTGTCCCTGAGCCATCCTTGCTTAGTCACACTGTCTCCTCTTTTCCTTTATTCCCAGGAACTAAAACCGACTGATACGATGCTTCTGCATTCTCAGACTGCATTTTCTATTGGTTTTGGCTTGAGCACTCTATCTTGTCAGTGAGGCTTTCACTCTCTTTGGAGTAAGCACTGCCTGCGAGGGTAACGTCAGGGCAGGAACGTCGCTTAACCCTGTGATATAATGTGCAGTTGTGTCACCTCTGGATACGGCAAGGGGCAACATCCCTGAATCAGACAGCAGATCCTGGAACATGCCAGAGCTTTTCTTTGTGTCAGTGATGTCACTGAGTTGTTGTCAGGGAGCTCATGATTTCTGGTGCTTTGTTAAAACCTTCAGACAGCCATTTCTACCTTACTGTAAACATATGTTTTGAGCCCTATATGTACATAGTCCATATGTGCACAATCCTGCAATAACAAAAATATAAAATCAAGAAAACACAGAACATAGAAGGAGCTAGAAAGGCTCTGTGATATGATGGTGATTTCTCAGTTATTTCTTATCTGGCATGATCTAACAACATGAATGTTTTGCTTGCAACCAAAGATTGAACAAACACTCAATTTGCCAATTAAAATATGAGCCTCAGTTTACTGGCCGCATAAAAACAATGGCTCCCTCTTGCACTCATGCAGGCTTGTGATTGTTGAGCCATCAGAGCTGAGATATTGGCACTTGTGCAGTGTAGACCAATGGCCACAAGATGTCAGTATTCTTTTGTATACTAACTAAGGATCACAGCAACAATAGTGTCAAATAAATTGTTTTATGCAGCCTCTTTTTTGTTGTTTAAGTGAAATTAGGCAGTCAACACAAATCACCATAAATTACAACATGAATATAAACCAAATTAAGGCTGAAGGAAACGATTCCAATTGTAGTTCAGTTATATTAATATAGATGAATATAGTTGAGGAAAGCAAATTGTATCCCATATGTTTGTTGAATTTGGTTGATAATAATAAATAATAAAAGTACTGCCTGGACAATTCAGGGTTTATATGTATTTGACCGGGCATTAAACACACTGTGATAAAATTAAAGAGCTCTGCGGTTTAAATAGGCCTAAATGTAAAGTGGAGAACAGGTCAAATAAGGAAAAAATCAAACAAATCGCATTAGATAATGTGCTGCTGTGCAGACGTTTATAGGTTTTGGTCAAATGATCATCACGAACAGCTCGTGGGGACTGACTCGTAGCAGCTTTTATGCAAATCGCCCTCTTCAGCGTGTTTTCATTGGAGAGGAGCGTGGAGGTGTAGTCTGGAAGGCGTGACATCATGCCAATGCAGCTTTATGAAGAAAGTGCGCTTCCCCTGAACAGACAGAGGTGCGTCCAGTCCGCTGGCATCGGTGGACTTTAAGTGTGTGGCTGCTGAAGCCAAAGAGGCTGCGCGGTGCAGAATCACCAGCTCGTACAGAGTTTGAGAAGGTGGGAGGCTTTTACGCACGTATGTTTTTCCTTCTGAGCTGAACTCAAAGTTTGGAATTACTGCGATTTCTCTCAAGTAAGCGCTCTTTCACTGACTGCATGAAATAGCTGTGGACATTTGGAGCTCTTTGAAGAGACCAGCTTGTTATTTAATATGACCGCTGAGCCGCACTCGCATTTGGGACTGCAGAAAAGCACTATGGATTTCGTCAGCGAATTCGACTTGATGAAGTTCGGCGTCAAAAAGGAGACGATGCCGGGGATAGACCGCTCCTTCATCGGGCCATGTAGCCAGCTCCAGAGACCCGACTCTGTTTCTTCCACTCCTGGCAGCACACCTTGCAACTCAGTGCCCTCATCGCCAAACCTCAATCCAGGCGAGCAGAGAAATAACCCCGGGGGCGACCAGTTCTGGATACCCAACAACGGGGGTTACCCTCAGCAAATGTACCCTCAAGCTTTTGGTCTGACACCCGAGGACGCAATGGAGGCCCTAATCGGCGCCACGGCGCAGCAGGGACACCCATCTGCGCCCCACGGCCACCATCCGCCACCTTTCCAAGCTGAATATGACGGGTACGGCCACCTGAACGAGCCTGTCCAGCACTATCCGGGACTCCCGGGTCACCCCGACATGCAAGGCATCCCCAGCAGTCACTGCCAAGACCCTTATCTCAAAGATGACCTGGGGTGCGAGTCCCCTCAGTCGCCGGAGGCCCAGCAGGTCCTCGGTGCGCACCACCATCTCCAGCAGCAACACAGCCGCCACGACCGGCGATCCAACGCCGAGAGCCACTTCTCAGACGACCAGCTGGTGTCCATGTCCGTCAGGGAGCTGAATCGGCTCCTCAGAGGCCTCAGCAAGGACGAAGTGATGCGTCTGAAGCAGAAGCGCCGGACCCTGAAAAACAGAGGTTACGCACAGTCCTGCCGCTACAAGCGCGTCCAGCAGAAACACATTTTGGAGCACGAAAAGACCAGCCTGGTGTCACAGGTCGAGCAGCTGAAACATGAACTCAACAGACTGATGCGGGAGAGGGATGCATACAAACTTAAATGCGAGAAACTGTCCGGTGCAAACTGTTACCACGAAACTGGGTCCACCAGTGACAATCCTTCCTCACCCGAGTATTTAATGTGAGTTTGTTAATTTCCTGCAGAACTGATTATTTTCCATAGGGAGGCATTATGTCGACAGCTCGCATTGCTCCTTTACAGACAATCCCGTGGATTCACCAAGTTCTAATTAATGTTGGACATAAGGATATCACTCAAATAATTGTAATAGATGCAACTAGGCAACAAGTTATGAATGGAAAATTACAAGGAAGCATGCATGCAGGACATGTATGAGATGTTTTTATTTTATACAGGCATATCTGAATTTTGTCTGAAAGGAGATACTTGAAATCAGAGAATATTCCCTTTTTATTAATATACAACTTTAATCCTTCTGCTTCAGTTACTGCTCAATATTCATTTTGGTGATTTTTTGTTTGTTGCTTTGCTTAGTTTTTGTAGCTCAAATGATATTTTGTGTTCATGCTTCCTTAAAATAGAAACCGTGCTGAGAAGAATGATGCAAGGAATGACATTTCTATTATTTTCATGAAGCTGATTCTGCTGGACAGATGTGTTCCTTATTTGCCTTTCTTTTTAAGATAATATATAATTATGCAAATTGTTTTTCATTTACTATGTTTTTCATTTATTATGGATCAATAAACCTATTGTGAGTTTTTAAA